TGTAGCCACTTAATTCAATTTCAGCATTTTTGGACATTATTAGCTTTTATATAGATAAAACTTTTATGAACATTTCACATAAATTGTATTTATAATAAAATGCTTCGCTGAGCGCAGCCTGATACAACCACAGAGGTCGAACCCTGAACAGTTGGGGTAAATTTGGACACAATATTCAAGCTTGATACTGTCTGAATTTGGATTGTGATCAAATTTTTTACATAATATAGGTTTCTGACACAAAATAAATGTGGTCAAAGATCTCACAAATCTATTGTGAAATACTATGCAATTGCAGATTTCTTCTTGAAACTTTTAAAAAATTTGAAATTTGAAAAATTTTGAAAAAAAAATATGAACCCCTTAAAAAAGTTGGAAAAAAATCCCCTCCCCAAACTCTTTGAATTCCCCCTTGGAGCAATTACCCCAAACTCAATCCCAGCCTTTCCTTTGTAGTATGGAACCTTGTAGTACAATTTCAGAGAGATCCATACAATTTAACACAAGTTATTGTCTGGAAACTAGAAAAATGCTTGTTTTTGGCCCCTAATTCCTGCATGTTTTGGGACAATTACCCTCAAACTCAATCCCAGCCTTCCCTTTGTGATATGAAACCTTGTGGTACAATGTCAGAGAAATCCATACACTTACACACAAGTTTTTGTCCGGAAACTATAAAAGTGCCTGTTTTTGGTCCCTTTTTGGTCCTTAATTCCTTAGCTGTTGGCACCATAACCCCCAAAATGAATCCCAACCTTCTTCTTGTGGTATTAAACAATGTGGTACAATTTCAGAGCAATCAAGATACTTATACACAAGTTATTATCATGAAACTAGAAAAATGCTTGTTTTGGGCCCCTAATTCCTAAACAGTTGGGACCACCATCCCCAAAATCAATCCCAACCTTCCTTTTGTGGTATTGAACCTTCTTGAAACTTAAACTAAAACTAAAGTAATTGTCTGGAAACTAAATGTGTCTTCAGACGACGTCAACAACGACGTCGACGACAACATCATACCATTATACGATCCCAAAAATTTTTTGGCGGTCGTATAAAAACAGGTAATTGGGTCACAGGGTGTATGATAAAGTGCATATGAACTCAATAATGCATGAGTGACTCTATTCATAATAAATGGGGAATGTGTCCATGGGACACAGATGATGCCCCCGCTTGCATATCATATAAAGTTATAAAGGGACATTACTGAAGAAGGGTAAAAGTGATGCTACCCAAATTTGTACTTGATCTGAGTTTTGTGGTAATAACTATTGTGTATAAGTTTCACAAAATTTGGTTGAGGCAAACTTAAGTTAGAGAACAGAAACGAAAAATTCAGCAATTTTTCCATTTGTAAAGGGGCATAACTCTAGAAGGGTTAAAGTGACACCACCAAAATTCAAACTTGATCTGTATTTTGTGGTAATAAGCATTGTGAATAAGTTTCATAACATTTGGTTGAGGCAAACTAAAGTAAGAGAACAGAAACCGAAAAATTCAGCAATTTTTCCATTTGAAAAGGGGCATAACTCTAGAATGGTTAAAGTGACGCCACCAAAATTCAAAGTTGATCTGTGATTTGTGGTAATAAGCATCATGTATAAGTTTCATAACATTTGGTAAAGGCAAACTAAAGTTAGAGAACGGAAACCAACTTTGGGACATACGTACGTACGTACATACAGACGAACAAGGGTAACACTTAATGCCCGGGAGGGGGGGGGGAAATAAAAAGTGTCTGTGAAACTTCATAAAAAGTGTCTGTGTAACACCAGTTAATGCACTGTTTTCTATAGCTCTGCTGGGGCAGTCTTTCATCACAGTTTTCCTCTCAGTGGCAGAAGTTCTAACAAGAGGTCTTGGAAGTTTTTTTTTACTGCATTTGGGAAAATATCGAATTAGTGTATAGGAAGACAATAATTCAATAGCAGTTTTTCTTTTTTTTTATGGGAAATAAAAAAATTAATGAAAAATAACGGATTTTATCATGTTTTGAATTTTTGTAACAACATATTTTGGAAATCAAATGTTTCAGTTTATTTTTCATGCTCACTGGAGTAAAGTGATATTAGGGTAGATCCAAGGATTGATCATGTTACACAGTATGTTTTCATTTACCATCGCAATGTCCAAAATTGGTGATAGTTTATTTGACGTTGAAACTCATTTTGCACTATCACAATTCGACTTGAACAAATTCATTGAAGATGAACAGAAAACAGGCAATCTTTTGTATAGTTAAATTAGATTCTGAAAATTTAAGTTTTACTACTAAGCAAACCGGAGAGAGGTTTGTGCATGGAAACATTTAATTTTTATCAGTCAAGGATGTAACTCTATAGGGTTATTAGAGAAAAATAACATACATTTGTTATTGTGGACTAAAAAATCAAAGAACTGTGATAACATATGTATGTTACATGTTTCAAAGGGACAATGTACATCATTTGTTTTGTTAAAATGTATACAAGTTCTATTGATATTACTATTGTCTTTATGTATACTTAACTATAGAAAGATATAACAGTTCATAGTTCGCCAATCATGCATAGTACACCTATGTTATTACAGAAAAAGTATGCCTATAATAACTAAAGGGTGTTATTACAGCTTCTCTACATCACTCCTAAGCATTTGCTCAGACATTCATCATGTTTAATTACAATGAATTTTAATTTATTGTAAGAAATAATGATCAGAGCATGTAATGAGGTTCTGTGCAAGCTTCCCAGTAATTCTCGAGTGTCTCATATAACAAGTTACATGCCTTTAATAACTAAGCCTTGTTATTACAGCTAAGTTTATCCCTTAAAAGCCTTGTCTTATTGATTTACCATGATTAATGAAAAATGTATTAATTTAATTCAAAAATTAGTTATCAAGGCTATGCATTTAGTTTCTGCGCAAAGTTTCCAGAGTTCCCTAGAGCCCAGGCCACTAAAAATCAATTTATGTATGATTTATTTTACAAATAACAAACATATGTTATTACAGATTTAGAAAATTTAAGGATTAAAGAGTAAACAACTCATGAAAGTATCTGTAATAACACATGCAAGTTATTTTCTGTAATAACCCTATAGAGTTATATCCCTGACTGTTTATGATTACAATCGATTTAATTGATTAAATTACAATTACTTTGATAATTGAATGTAATTGATTACATCATCGAAATAAAATATGATATTGGATTATGGAGTGCCTCACCATTGTTGACAGCCAATCAAAATTAAATTACAGATTCTAATGAAACATACATTCCATTCTCAATTCTATGTACATGTAATGTAGTAAGTGGTTCTCCTTCAAAGACCTTATCACAAATTTTAACAAAAGTTTGTTCACTATGCTGCAGCCAGAAACAGAACGTCTGAGTCTTGCAGCTATGTGAAGAGCAGACAAAACTATAACCTTTGAAAGCTTATTAGGTAGCACCTGCCTCATATTATTTTTATGTACATGTAGGTAGTCTTTTCTTGACTTTATAAGGTCAGAGTGGGTCTCATTGGGGTCTAAGCGTGACGCGGGATTGCCGATTTTTTGTAAGCGTGACACTTGAAAGTCAAATTATTGTGCCGTGAAAACGGGAAATGATGTCTAGCGGGATACGGGAAATTACAAAAAAATTCGTAAGGGTTCCGCGGAACCCAGTGTCTCGCCTACTTTTGCTGTTAATCGCAGGCTCAACAAAAATGAGAAAAAAAATTAATAAAAATATTCCTCTCTATACTATCATTTGAATGTAAGTAGCTTCTGTCCAAGTTTGGTAAAAATCCAGGATAATTTATGAATCTAATAAATGTTTTAAAAACTTAAACTGCAGACTGTATGTAATGTTGACTGGAAGAAAAACTAAGTCCATTTATAAGTAAAATACGGAAAAAATGGAACAAAATTTTATCAAAATTTCCTTCTAGATACTAGCTTTTGATCATAAACAAGCTTCTGTCCAAGTGTGGTACAAATCCAGGATAGTTTAAGAAAGTTGTTAAAATTTTAAAAACTTTAACCACAGAGTGAATGTAATGTTAACTGGCAGAAAAACTAAGTCCATTTATAAGTAAAATATGGAAAAAATGGATTTTTTTTTTTACAAAATTTACTTCTGGATACTATCTTAAGATCATAAACAAGCTTCTTTCCAAGTTTGGTAGAAATCCAGGATAGTTTAAGAAAGTTATTAAAATTTGAAAAACTTTAACCACAGAGTGAATGTAATGTTTCCTGGCAGAAAAACTAAGTCCATTTATAAGTAAAATACGGAAAAAATGGAATTTTTTTTTTACAAAATTTACCTTTGAATATAATCTTATGATCATAAACAAGCTTCTGTCCAAGTTTGGTAGAAATCCAGGATAGTTTAAGAAAGTTATTAAAATTTCAAAAACTTTAACCACAGAGTGAATATTTGTGGACGCCGCCGACGACGACGACGACGACGACGACGCCGACGGAATGTAGGATCGCTATGTCTCGCTTTTTCGACAAAAGTCGAAGGCTCGACAAAAATGAGAATTGCTTACGTACATAGTGTAAGTGGGATACGGGAATCTAATAAAACAGTAAGCGGAAGCGGGATCAGAACCCCCCAATGAGACCCCCGTCAGAGAAAACAGTAATCGTCCTTTAATTTTCGTACTACAGATATACTTCAGATGTTGAACTTGCAGTTTCTTTTATACACCTTACGAATTGATTTATTCATGTTTTATGCATAAAACAGTATTCATAAGGTACGGGGTTGAAATTATGTGTAAAACATTGGGTTATGAATATTAAGTTATAATTAAGGTAGTGAATAAAAAAACGCTGGTGGTATTTTTTTTAACGTGCATGTTATGATGTATTTTACTAAGGAAATTTAAGTTATTAACCACATGCACATTGTATTCGGGTCTACTTGGGTGATCGCAAGAGTTCTGATTCATTCTACCTGCCCTGCCCCTTAGGCTTAGGACATAATTGCATGTGTACTTATCATAAAAAAGACATACAGCAAATCTAACTATCTGAGCATTTTTCTACCATCGTACACAGCCGAAACTGGCCAACAACAACTCCTTTGTTAGCTAGCTTCTCAAACTGCAACTTTTATGAGCTCACTTTTTCACCAAAAAGTTACACCGGAAATTATAAAACTAAACAGAATCCAATTCGGAACGACATATGGCTTTCCGGAAAGAAATCGTGTACCTCAAGTATTAAATACAGCACAGCACTGCTGTGGCGTGTTTTATTAGTATCTTCTATTCTGTACATCTCCAGAATGTTTTCTGGTGAAGAATAAAATAAAAACAAAACCTGGACCTCTTCTGGAGATATTCTGTAGAAGACGCAATAAAACACAAATTCAATTTGCCGGCAGCAAATGTCCCTTTTTAAAAAGCGCAAATCAGTGGCGTAGCCACCTAAGGCTCGACTAGGCAAGTGCCTATACATAAATTTGCCAATGAAAGGTTCCCGATCTAACACTTTAACATTCTACACAGAAGACATGCGATAGGTTTTAAATATGACGGACATTTTTCCTAAACAATGTAAGTATTAATCATATTTCATTAAACTGGTCACAGAATCTGACCTGCACACAGATTTTGAATATGTGCCGATTAAAATGATTCTTTTTCTCAATTGATGTACTGCTAAACTCTTCTTGTTATTTTCTTTAGAAATCCGTTTAGTTGCACATCTTTCTCAAACAATCATTATCATGATAACAAAATAAGATTTGAAGAATACCTTGGGCCTTTTACGTCTTCAATCATTTGTCATTGCTGTTACTAGCGGTCACGGGTATAATATTTATATATACTTAAAGAGTGATCTACAAATCGTCGTATGAATCCTATAATGATGTATTTCCCATTTGGTAATAGGGGTAGCGGTAAAAAATTTTAATTGAATTTTGATAGCTCAATATCATAAATATTTGACTGAGACAAAAAGTTATATAGGAATCGAATTTATGTACATGTAGAGTAACTCTGTTTGATTGGTTTTTTTTATAGACAAGCAACTTAGATAAATAAAGCATCCCTTTTTTTGGAGATAGAACAATGTAGTTTTATCCCTATATTTCCACTGGAGATAGATCATAGATTTTTTTTAACTTTGTAATATCCTCAATTCTGTGCTGCTGGATTTGCTAAGAATTGCTCATTGATTGAGTTCAAACCATGCAAACCATTTATATTCATAGTACTACTAAGATAATTTTAATAACAATTATTGAACAGCAAAAATACATGAGAAATAGTGGAGATACAACACTATAAAAATATTTTTCTCTGAACCAACTAGATGAATAAGCCATTATAATCCAATGGGAGTGTGGTGATAGAACAGTGTAGTTCTGACAAAAACTCTTAGAGTGTAGAAATCTCGTATTAGGGAGCTACCATTTGATTTTTAGGGGGGTGGTGCTAGGATGAAATTAAAAAAAAGGCAGGAAAGGTGTTTTGAGTAAAAAAAGGCAGGATGAGCAACTTGGCAAAAAAAGGCAGGATGACAATTTATGCAAAAAAAAAAGTCAGGGAAAACTAATAAACTTGGATCTCAAAAATATAGCTATCTCCATTTTTATTAAAAGCGGACATACAACACTAAAAGATTCACTAGACGAAATGTATGCCTTCTGAGTGGCAGACTTTCAATTTGGGTATAAATGTTTTTCCCAAGAAAATGGTAATTGCTCAGGGTAAATGTGTTGTTTTCAAAAGGTCATATTGGAAACCTGCATGCAAAAACGTAGTTGCGTACACATCGACAATTATTTTCTGCATAAATGGTCAAAATATTTTCGCCTCATGATGCCTACACTTAAATACTAGTCTAGCGACACCCCTGCAAATGTCCTATAAATTGAAGCGCAAATATCCTTTAAAAAAAGGCGTAAATGGCCTATGAAAAAGCGCAAATGTCCTATGAAAAAGCGCAAACCTCCCGCGCCGAAATGCAGAATGATAGTTTTCAATAATTTAGGAGGGGGTCTTTCAGCGATTTGACCATATGTTATTGAAAAGCATGACAATACAGGGTATCCAATTTCATTTAACGACATCTTGATATAAATTCTAAAATTCTTGTTATTTTAGCTTTTGAATGTTGTATTTTTTATGTGTATTGTGCATACCCTGGTATTTGGCAAGATAGGTGTGTATTGTATTATAAAATAAGATAAAAAAAAGTAATTGCAATTAATTTCAGCGGCAAGTTGTTTTTTTCATTATCAATGCGACTTGGGACGGTTATTATAGTAGTCTAAGTTGCTTTTTGGCCCCGAGACTACTATTCTCATATATACCGTAATATGGATTGAAGTTATTTATTTATACTCAAAACCAAAATCTGTTTGTGTTAAACAGTGGCTGATCGAGGGTGTTCCCCACGCCCCTTCTGGCCAATTTTCTTTCAAGTTACCTTTAAGTGCGATTCTGTATTGCCACCGCCTCCTGCCAGGCTTTTTACATTCTCCCAATTTGAAATCACTTATCCAGAGTCGGGTTAAAAGGGGGCAGGGGTCCCTCCCCTTACGGAGCTACATATATAGACTTTTTACATGTACCACTCCAAATGTTGTCTACGATTTTGGGGCTTTGGGCCCCCTTTTTTAAAATCCTGGATCTGCATCTGTTATCCGCCGCCGCTTAAACAGAACAGAGAAATTACTTAAAACATGCACACCTTGTAACAGATGTCACGATAAAAATTAATATATCGTCATAGATTGCATTTCTCATTGTAGTTTGAGTGAAGGTGGGTCTGTTGCAAAACTAATATGGCAGCTTAATATCTTGAGTGCTACTAGTTGTGACATTATAATTAATATTCAAACGAATAGTAAACCTATTAACTGTTCCCTACTCTCTGAGTAAAATAAAGTAGTGGAAGGTAGGTGTGGTTTCCAGAATATTTGTCTTCGGTATTTTTAATGATCGACAGCAGAGATGTATTATATATGTCTCTGGTGGCAGTAATAATAGCGGTATCATACTAACAAATTACAAAAGGGTTTGGGATCGATCAGGGCCGCGACTTACAAATCACAGACTCTTACGACAAATTGCCAAGAATCCCCTTTTTTTTCTCTTTTTTTGTGTTTATTTTTTTGGTAGATAGTCTTTAATACTTGAACTTATTTTCATTATTTTGCCTAGTAACAGGATAGACCGTGTTAACATAATAGACAAATTTCTTCATTTATGAATGCTGTAGTGAAATAACTACTCTTTTTGATGAAGTAATACTGTTTTTCTGCTGTTTTGGTTTCCAACACGTAATTGCACTTTTTACAACTATGATATTGGTGTAATTAATAGATATTATTGGTAACAGCATAGACATGACAAAAGGGTACCCACTAATTTTTTCTCACTGAATGTCTTGAATTTTCTTTATCTACACTGTTTATGCAAGAAACGTGCTGTGTTCAATTTTTAGGAAGCTTTGTGCTTTTGAAATCATCACTGAATAGTTCCATATTCATGGCGAGAAATAATTTAACGGTTGATTTAGTAGCGTACGCCGATTGAATTTTGTTTGTAGAAAAAATGTTACATAGAATAATAAAGAAGCTGTGATTTTTCTTCAGAGTTAGCCTTTTAAAATAGATCCTTTTGCAGATATCAAGGCAATCAGAAAATAGGAAAAAATCATTTGAAGTGTGTTACCCTGACACTGTATGCACATAAATAAATCGTGTTTATTATTGATGTCCCGACTCAGGAATCCTACAAACTTTCATTCAAACACTTACAACTGCATTTTCCTTTAAAAATAAAATGTTTAGCGTAGGTGTAATTAATATTCGATATTTATTTAAAATGACCCATATCACGGCTTTGTGGCGTCAAATACGTTGACCTGACCTTAATAACTTTGACCCGGGCATATCACCGACGTCAAATACGTTGACCTGACCTTAATAACTTTGACCCGGGCATATCACCGACGTCAAAATGTAAGAATCGACGTTGATAAGTTTGGCCCGGCGAACTAATCACGTCATCTTCCGGTTTGCTGGTGGAACAAAGAAAACACTTGTTTTTATCATGCAAAATACGCAAATACAACCCGATAAATCGATTATATTGTTGGCTGCATGTTGATATTGTAAAATATCAGCTGCTTTACACAATATGAAGCCTTTTTGAACTCGATCGCTGCGCTCAATCGACAAAAAGATTCATATTGTGACTCGCAGCTGATATTTTTCAATATTAATATGCAGACAACCTGATAATCGGTATCGAAATCCCTGGCTTAATAATTTACCAGTGATGTCGTGATAGATTACGATATTTGAAATCGAACACGAATGGGCATATCGAACGAGTTGGGATACATAAAAACTGATCAAATATCAGGCTCATTACTTAAAAAAAAAGGGCTGTATAGCCAGTCAAGGTCGTTAAAAACTTCCATTTGTTGTTGCTCATTACTTTGTACGAAACACGTGTTGCGACTACACAAGACTCATCAATAATAATGATATAAACACCTTTAAGGTTGGATAATTTCAAAATTGACACTATAACTTTATAATAGATTTTTTTTTCAAGATTAACAAAAACAAAAGTGAAAAATAAATAAACCTTCATCTTAAACATTTATTTGCATACACTATACATGATAAATACACCAGATTATTGACGTAAAACTATTCAAATAAACACAGCTTTTTGTTACTTACTACATACAAATTGAAATTAAACGAAGTCAAACTGTTAAAGTAATTTACTGTCGACACAAAACGCTAGCGATAGCTCCATCCTTGCGAGTTCCAAGCATGAACTCAACCCATTCACCCACATAAACGGGTTTTGATATTTTCCCCTTTTTTTCCGTGTCTATATTAGCAAACATCATTTTCACAGCTTCATCTTGTTGGACTCCTAGACAACGTAAACCTCGAATCATGTCGTCGGTATTTATCTCACCGTCGTGATCCGTATCATAAATGTCAAAAAATGAACCCACCATCATCTCAAAATTTTTCTGAAACAGACCTTTATTTACTTCAACAAGTTGTTCAAATGCATTGGCGTATTGGTCCTCCGTTATTGCTTCGCCTCTATTCAGCATTTCGGTAATCTCAAAAACCAACGCTGCGTTGTCAGGAGTCAATCCGCCATTTTTGCCAGAATTTGCCAAATCTTGTCCTTCCTTCACTAAAATATCCCATCCTTCACACAACCATTTCTTTAACACCGAATACTGTGGATCTTGTAGTTCATATTCACGTTTGAAAATGTCTGCTATTTCTGCGAAATCGGCTTTGCACATTCTTGCGTTTCCTTTAATGTTGTTCATTTTGAACCATGTTCTGATTTTTAAATCCATAAATTTTTTGTCGGTCATCTTTTTCAATTGGTTTGCAACTTCACTGACTATCTTTCCTTTTTGATTGAGTCCGTGAGACACTATGGATGAAATTAGTCATGTGTACTTTTATACCAATAAGAAGCTGAAGCCAAGTAAGGCGATTTGGGTATAATTACACATCTTGTAGGTCGTAGTCTGCGTAAATTAAAATACAATCCGATTTCATGGTGTTCCGTCGAGTCAAATTAATCAGATTTAAAATATCATGCAACAACCTCCATCGTTTAAATGAAACTTCAAGAAGATATATCACAAGAGATAAAGGTATCAGGAATTGGTGGATTAAAGATGACACTGAGCAACTACATAGAAATAGAAAAAAGTAAAAAGCTAGATATTTATAACCGAACTTTTAAATATCTTGATTGTTAATTTACACTATAAAGTCTAATTTATCCTTAGTATTAAACATGATATGTGAAATTCAATTACAATCTGGCGTAAATAACGTGTATAAGTGTTATCAAGTTGCGTTCATTGACGGTCAATTCAAAACAACAACAAATTAGGAATATTTCAAAATCCTACTTTTTAATTTTTTTTCAAAAAAAAACTCATGTGCAGACAGCAATGAAAGGAGTAGGCCCGGTAAGACCCCTTTTTGGCCCAAAAATATGCTAGTAGCATTTTTACAATTTGTTCAAACTTTTAGCTATTTATTGGAAAGTAGAATACTTTTGTTGCATAAATATGGGCTGTTTTTGACAATACAATGCACATGCATCAGGTACTAGCATCATTTTAAAATTCATGCTTATTACTGAAATCTTCCCAATTTTAGCGTTTGTGCTAATTGGTCAAGTTACAGTAAATGGGCTATGTTACAGATTTTCTTTAAATTTGGCACACACCTTAATTGGCTCGTTAAACTGTATCTGAAAATCGAAAAAATAATGCATTTATCTCTTTTTTTTCCGAAATACTATTGATTGAATTCTTTCAAAATAGGTGCCCATTTGTATAGAAAGCATATAAAATCAACGAAAAACGTTCTTAAATTTGTCTTTATATCATCAAATTTCCAATTTTTACTCCATAGATTTTTCTTAAAAAACTATATGTTCTTGGTACAAAAATTTCCGTTTCTATGATGTAAAATAATATTAGGGTCACCGACTTCGTTTTAACGGTATACATCAATCAAAGTTGTGTACTGAGTGAAAAAAATACCAAAAAACGTCGAAATAATCGTAACGTCATCGCGTTATAGACCGTAAAACGTCGATTTTTGACGTTTTTCACTCCCCACAAAGTAACGAATTGGTTAATACACTAAAAACGAAGTCGGTGACCATATGATTATTTTATATCATTAAAACGGAAATTTTAGTATCAACAACATATAGTTTTATAAGAAAAATCTATGAAGTAAAAATTGAAAATTTGATGTTTTGAAGGTAAATTTATGAACGTTTTTTGTCGATTTCATGTGATTTCTATAGAAATATTCATCTATTTTGAATGAATGCAATCAGTAATATCTCAGAAAATAAAAGAGATAAATGTATTATTTTTTCGATTTTCATATATATTCAACGAGCCCAAGTTATATGCATAATTATACCAAAATCTGTGACATAGCCCATTTACTGTTCCTTGACCTTAAGCTTGAATTTGAGCGTCTTTAATGACCAGATTAGTTCAAATCTTTTACATAAACTAATTGAACCGACTGAAGTAGACACTAAAGTGTTTAAAAATGTAAATAATCTTTCAGCAAATGTACTTCGAATTTTAGGCCAAAAATTAGCCCTTACCGGACCTTCTCCTTTCCCCTTAACGTAGCAACATTACACAATTAATTGGTTACTTGACATTATAAATTGTATGTTTGTCTAACACCAGAGCCATATTTTAAAAGTCCTTCGATTTGGTGGTCTCGTAAAAGCGTACTCGACTAGAGCGCGGAAGATCGTGTGTTCGATTCCCGTTCAGGTCAAAGCAAAGATTTGAAAACTGTTATTTGCTGCTTCTCAGATAAGAATTTATGAGTTAGAGCGAAGATTTGTTGGATCCTCAGGTCGGATCGGAGTCAGAATATTTGTGTTCGAGTATGGTGACATGTTATCCTTTCACTATTACTAGGTGAACTAGCACGTCAAATATCCGGCTCAGCATGTCAGTCTAGTCCAATGATTGGTTCATATCCATATTACTTTAACAGGTTCTCGTGCATGTTATAGTTGTCAGTGTGTGTTTAACCCAAGTCCATCATTCAGAGGTACAGACACCGACATAAGTGTACAAGGTGGCAGGATTTCTATATCAGAGGGTCAAATACTCTAATCTTGCATTTAGTAAAAGTGAGCACTCTTTCATATGGTAAATATAGTATTAGTAGTTAGTACTGTTTTAAAACTTGTTTCTGTTCTTTGTTATCGAATACAATGCTAATGTAGAGTTTAATACTTTGCTTACCTGATCTTTTTTTCCCATCTTTCCTCTATTTTCATTCGAGTTTATATCTACTGATCGAGATTGAGGGAAAATCGAGTTATCAAAAACATAGCTCATCCCCGCTGAATGGTTATTTGCCTGTCCAAAGTTTGGAACCTCGTCTGTGGTTGTTTTATCTAAAATGTGTTTTTTTATTCGGGAATCAAGTTGGTGCATGTTGACGGCTACAATACAATATTCCTAAACGGGGCAATTTGGAGCACGACACTAGTATGTTTTTTTAAGATAGTATGTCGACCTCTAGATGTCTTTCAAGTTAATTTTTGTGTCGATGGATTGTCTGATTGACGTTAATCACACATCCCCTTTTATTTATATTCGAAGAAATTTCGAAGATAAGGCAGAATGTCTGTCACCTTTCTCATTTCTGATCACTTTAAGTTGCATATACCTAGGAGCGGGTTATAGATAACTTATCCACGACTCATTAGACCTCATTAAAGTTTTTAAGTATGGATTGTAAAATAAGGGATTTTTTCCGAGTGCATAAATTCAACCAAAACAGGGTAGTGTTCGGTATGAGGAATATAAATAGAAAATTGAATATTCAGTGCAATCAATGAAAACAAAAATATCCAAATCATGTACCCAAACGCCTGGGAGATTAACCAACAGTAAATCATTTAGTGCACGTTTATTTCTTCATTTTAAATCATCCAAATTCGGGATTTGTACATATAGGTTGATCAACAATAATTATCATCAGAAAATTGCCAAACTATTTTCAAAGTAGGAAAGTATTGAGCTAACTTTTTCCAATCGATTAGAAGGGTTTTTCAAAGACTTCCTTTAAAGAATTCACCATTGCTACATAAAGGTGTGCAAATAAATTAATAGATATAACCACTGTGTTTCATCGCCACCGGAAATTGGGTACTAACGAAGCGGAGAGAAATGGAAAAAAAAGTAAACAAGGTAAGAATTCATTCAATTTAAAGCATTTCTGCTGATTTGACGAGGGTACCGCTTAAGAAATGATTTTCTGATATATAATTCTTTAAATTATTAGGCCGATAAGTACAATATTAAGGCAATATTTTGTGTTATACTCCAAATCTTGCCACTTAGTACCTGAAAATTTCGAGGTCGATTGTCCTCTGTCGCCCCATTTGCAAAATATTCAACTGTTTTTCATTATTTTTCCAGACACGTTTTTAGATTATGATAGTGTGACATCATATTGACTAAAATCTGTTGTCATAAAGATGTTTTTAAAGAATATGGACCAAAACATTGTTTGTTTATTGTACGGCGAATTGCAGGACGTTGTACGGCGAATTGCAAAATAACAACTTTTGTCTGTACGGCGTCTTGCAATATATTGTAATTTAAAGATGAAATTAACCACTGTTTAGATAATATCAAGTGACGAAATTTTGGCTGTATCAAAGCTTTACCGGCTTACAAATATACAAAATAAACTACTTATCAAATATTATAAAATATATGCCGTTAATTTCGTTCAGAAGTCGTCGTTGCGTACCTCTATTTGACTTTGCGTTTTTAAAGACAAAAAGGTTTTTTTCAACCATATTATCCTAAATACATTCATATATCGTTATACTACTAACGATTGTTGTCTTATGTGTTGTCAGGGTGAAATTTTGTAAGTTCAATAAAAAAAAACCGACCATTCATCTTTTGTTGGCGCTGGTTTTTTTTTAAAATATAAACAGTGGAGATGTTGTATGATTGCAAATAAGATAACTATCCACCAGGGTCAAATAAAGTGTATGTTAGCAATTATATGCTATCGTTTGGCCTTCAACAACGAAAAATCGTACCTTACAGTCGGCTGTAAAAAGCCCCGACATGAAAATTGTGGAAGGATTCAACAAGAAAACTAACGGCCTAACTCATAACAAAACAATTAACGAAAAATAACAAATATGATAGAGATGAACCAACGACAACCACCAAACTACAGGCTCGTGGCTTCGGACAGACACATACAGAATGTGCTGGGTTAAATAGATATAGGAAGATGTGGTATGAGTGCAAATGAGACAACTCTCCATCCAAGTCACAATTTATAAAAGTAAACCATTATAGGTCAAGGTACGGTCTTCAACATTGTTTATTGTTTATTTTTTAAATTTCTGAAATGAATAATTTGTTAGAAGAAAAGTGAAGAAAATACTTTGTTTTCATTGAAAATTAGGAGAAATAAATCATGAATTGTGTTTCGAATTAAATTTCTTGTTTCTTATTGAAAATAAGATTGTATTTTTTTGAGTTTCAGTAAATTCAATCAATCTTTTTATTTACAGGGAAAACATAATAAAAGACTGTTGCTAAGGCTGTTTGGATGGAGATGGAGGGGTAGTGAAAAGGAGTGTATTCGTCCGAATTTTCATTGTTACAGTAGTACATTTTCATGATTACTATGTATAATATTTCTCAGTAAATTTTAATGTGATATTGTGCCAATTAAAATTATATAATTAATACAAGTAAGACTTGCATTTGCCTTAAAAGATATAGCAGTACGTGACTATTTGGTTTCAAACACACCTTCTCTGTTTTGAAACTTATAAAGGTATGGATCTCGGCCTATCTGTTTGGTTGAATATAAATGTGAATTCATAGAGTTTCAAAATCAACAGTAAGCCCTATTTTTGTGTGTGTGTAAATAATCTAATCTTTAGATAGATGCTAAAATTAAAATCATTTTTCTTAATACGAAGAAAA